TTACTATAGGTAGTAAGTACCTATAAAGTCAACTGTCTACAAGAGACTTAATAGATAGATAGATATGGATGCTCTCTCCTGTTCTTCACTGTCGAGGCTTTGAGGGAGGGCAAAGTTTCGTCTGGGGAGGCTGACAGTCGCTGAACCTACTTATGCGGGTTCAAAGGGAATATTTTTGGCTGAGCCTATGGGCTCTGAGAACTCACGGTAAACTTGACCTTGTGCCACATACGTCCCTCATGGTGGGAGGCTGTTAAATATTAACAGAGAGAAGACGCAAGCACATCCAACCTTCCAATTAGTGGCACTCACTACTAGATTGACCTATGTGTATAACTGTACCATATTTCATATTGTACTCGTTGGGTACAATAAACCTTTCTTCTATTATCCACCTGGTGTTAAGTATTTATTCCCCTAGCATGGAATATAACAATTAGTGATTTCTATAATAAACAAAACTGACATTTACACTGGCAGATATGAGATATGAGGATTATATAGAAACCTTTGGCCAGTATTAGAGATCCTCAAAGCATGTAGAGTCAGATTTGCTGGGCATCAGTGGAAAGCGAAAGCTAGTTGATTCATTTTTCTATGGCTCATCAACATTTTGCTGGTTATTTAAAGCCAGAAGATATTTTTTAGATTGTAAGAATTTTTTTGTGGGTGGAGATAATAATGATTTATTAATACAAGTTTCACTAATTAATCCATAGCTGTGGGAGAGGAATGGATTCATACCTTTCCTGAGGGTATTTGCACATAACTGAATATTAATGAACCCAATCGGAATTGGAACTCGGCTCTCTAATTAACAATTCCTATCCATCGCACCACCTGGTATTCTAAAGGAGTCACCCATCTAGATACTGACCAGGCTTGACTTTGCTGATTGTATTAGTATTTTAACATGTGGCTATAAAACAGAGAGCTGAAGACTAAATTGTTTGTGAAGTTCTTTTGCAGGAGCCTACACAAAGAAGAACTAGCAGGGGATGACAAAGTGAAAACTTTATCAAGCAGATTTGTGATAACAGAAACAACTATCTCTCAGACTTGCCAAATATGAAGGACAAGAGAACTTGATACCAACAGAGAATCATGTGAATCTGTACAAGCAGTGCACTGATTGGATGATGATGATGTTCTAAATACAAGTGCCAGCTGGAATTGTCATAAAAAGAGAATTGTTTTTGATTCCTGAAACAATTATCTCACAGAGCAAATTATTTGAAATTAATAATCATAGTACACAAAATATGCACTTTACCAGAAAAAGACAAGGTGTGGGTACTGAAGAATATTTAATTGCACAGTTGGTTGGTGGATTGATTTTCCTTTGCGGTACATCAAATTCTATGGGCTATTTAATGCCAAAATCTAAATAGTTTGTATTTAATTTTATAGCTTCAACTACACATATTTTGGTTTGGTTTATTTTGTTTTACAGCATATCACCCTCAATGGGTTATTTAATGCTGACAAAATAATTTTATTGCTGGTAATATTTTGTTTCGTCAAAAATCTGTTTCTGGTAATATATTTCCTTCAAAATTGTATTGATGGTAATAATTTTTTTTTCAAAAAAGAACTGCTGGTAATAGTTAACTATTTGCCTATAGCTAGGACCCTAACAGGGGCTACCACTCCAGGTCAGGGTGGACCTGGGAACACCAGCAATTAAGAGTTGGTTCCACGCTCCTCAAAACCTCCTGATCAGAGGCCTTGCTGCTGGACATAGTTTAATGTCTTACCCAGGATGTGGATGTAGTTTAACATCTTATCAGGATGCTACACATATTTTGGACATAATTTTGTACCTTCAGAGTAAAAGGCCCTTTTGTTTATATATATATATATATATATATATATATATATATATATATATATATATACACACACACACACACACACACACACAGGGGTGTTAGGGTGTTAGGTAAACTATTGCCATTTTATATATTTAATTTCATGCATGCGCATCGTTTCAGTTTGAAAACAGCATGCTGTACTGGACCAGCATTGCACCAAAGCACCAATACGAACATTTCAGAGTATTTGGATGTCAATCAGAAAAGAGTGCAGAGGATTTGGAAAGAGTTTGACAAGCCTAATGGTGATTACAAAGTTACAGCAGCTTGGAGAACTCACTCTGATAAGAAAAGAAACTCCTGAATTGGTTGGTGGAGGCCTACATCAAGTGCCTTTAGGAGGTAGTGCTGACTGGGATGAAGAGGTTGGCTGCAGGAAGATCCTATGTATGGCAATAGGACTCTGCACCATGCCACACACCCAGAACCCAGTTTTGGCTATCAGACAATTTCTGAGAGCACATCACCCCTTACATCTGGCCACCTAATATCCCAGACTGCAAATACCTTGATTATTATGTGTGGGACACAGATGAGCAAGAAAACTCCTTGTAACAACAAAGATTAACTGAAGGCAAGGATTATGGCAGCATTCGCCAACTTAAACATGGAGACCATCCAGAAGATTTGCAGGAGATTCCAAAGTTGACTGAAGCCAATGGTGATTTTACTGAATAAATTTTCTCTTTCGAATTTCAATATATTTTTATGTAATTTTGGTGAATATATCTGTTAAAATGAGATGTCTGTGTTATTTTCATTTTTATGCAATTTAGACGACAATTTATCCATAGCACCCTGCATATAGTTTTTAATCATAAAATGTACTGTCAGTAATTTTATTATAAAAATGACCTGTTAAATTTTGTTTGGAGCTTCACTGTTTGCCCATAATTACACAGACACTTGCATTTAGTACAGAAGAATGCACCATTCTAGCTTCTAAAGGTAAGCACTGTAAAAGGTTGACTTTAGTTTTTCATTATCCTGATGTTTTTACTTGTACAAATATTGAGATTTATATCCCATCTTTGGGTTATAAATGACCTCACCAAACTAACTGCTAACCTGATATAAAGACTCAAGAGATATGACACTTCAGAACAACTCTCATATCTTTAAGCAAGGCTTGTCCCAGCACTCTCCCTCAGAGTCCATTTTCTACCATCTATTTATACTGGTTCACAGTCATATCACTGGTTTTCATACAACCACTATAGTTAAGCAACTTTATGTCTGGTTACTACCAAGATAGGTAACTGCTTGGGAATAGCAGGTGCTGTAAGCTTGGACAAGGAGGTGATATAAAGGACTTATGGCCATATCATGTTGAAACACTAGTTCATGTACAATTACCAAAGTTAAGCAACATCAGAGCTGGTCAATACCTAGATGTGTGAGTGGGGTCATAGATAATGGCTCAGAATTGGAAATTTAAAGAGCCAAGTTCCAATTCTTGTCAAGTTCATTATATTCACTAACACACAAATGCCATTTGTAAAAGTAAGAATCCACCTTTTCTCTTCCAAGCTATGGATTAATTACTAAGACTTGTATCAGAAAATAATTTTCTTCAAAGATTTTATATCTGGATATTTTTTGGTTTAAATAATCTGCAAAAGTTTGATAAGTCATAAAACTATATCTCTTTAGGCAAGTTCATTAGGTAGGCTACTTACCACTTCACTCTTGCCTTCAATATGCCTTGTAAGGATCAAATTTTCCAAGCCTTGTTTTTGTGTCCTAAAAATTTTAACTGTCACTTTGCAATGCAAGTCACAAGATACTCCAATAGAATGGGTAAAATATTGTGTTGCAAAAAATAAAAGAAATTGATATTGACTTCCCAGAATTATAAGACATTCCTTAATTTTGTTTTTTTTATAAACTAGAATTCTTTTGCAACACACTGACACATGTTAAAATCCTTACAGTATTTAGTATTGATGAAGTTATCACTAACATTGATTTTTGAGATTTACAAACTATGTTTCATTCAAATTATAGAAAGATATGCAAAAACAATATTGCATTTTTATTAAATAAGAAATTGTTATTTTAATCATTAAATTGTTTTTAAAATAGTGGCAGTATTTTGTAAAATAATAAAACTTAATTTTTCCAAAAAAAAAAAAAAAAAAAAAAGAAAAAAAGAAAAAAAAATGCATGTAAATTTATTGTACTCAGCTACACACCCTAGTAAAACTAACTGTATTTTGTAACTCCTTACTGGTTTGCACCTCTCCCTAGAATTTGGTTCTTATCAGTTAATGCATGGCTATTTTAGAGGTTTTGACAGATGGATGAATGGACTGATGGATGGCAGTCACAGAATTTTTTATATAATTTTAAACTCAGCAGTAGGCAAGAGTAAACAAATTGGTTTGCTTCAAAAGCATAAAAAAGTGCACAGCAAAAGGGTTTTTGACAACAAAAAATAAGAAAAAGACCTCTACATATCAAGCAAAAAACCCATCTCCCTGTCAAAGCTGAATTTAGCACTTTTTTCCTTTTTGTCTCAAGTGAGAAAAATAAGTTCTTTTTTAAAAACTTTATCAGTGCTTAAGAATAGCTATTTAAAAAAAAAGAAAAGAAAAAATAAGGGAAAGAAAAGAAAAAATAAGGGAAAGAAAAGAAAAAATAAGGGCAAGGAAAGAAAAAATAAGGGAAAAAAGGAAAGAAAAAATAAGGGAAAAAAGGAAAGAAAAAATAAGGGAAAAAAGGAAAGAAAAAATAAGGGAAAGAAAAAGCAATTTACTAAAGTGCTACTACATGCAAACCATGGCTATTCACTTAAATACCTTAAATGTTCTTCTTCCTCAATAATATGTCTGAAAATAAAAAATAGTGCACAAACATTGAAAAAATATTTCTGAACCAATTCCAAAAGATATTTTGATATCAGTGCAATGTTCTGATATTTAATGAAAATTATTTCTTTTTCCATTAAGACTTTTTTTTTTTTACAGAAATTCATAGCCATATAAATCAATACATATGTTCTTGAGAGAAAATATTTTGGTTCTAATAAAATTTCCTCTAGAGGACTTCATGTAAAATGCTTTCCATCTGAAATGATATTCTGTGATTATAGCAGATATTTCATTATTTGCATTCAGACTAATAGCTTTATCATTGTCATGAGGATAACACCACAGATAACGACATTAGATTAAATGTAAATAATGATAATTCATCATTCCAGAAATTCAAACATATTTCCTACTGGAATTTTATTAATAAAAGTTATTTCAATGCAAATAATTTGCCAAATAATTAACTGTATAATTAATAGTAATTAACATTAATTTTAATAACAGGCTATGACAATTACTTTGTTTAATATAATTAAAATAGCCTATATGAAGTGTGTAGAAATGATTAAAAAATAATTAATGTTCTAACATTAGAAAATAAATTAATCCCCCCCCTGTCTATTAAGCCTCTTGTTTTCAAAAAAAGAAAGGGAGGAAAAAGGCAAAAGAATTGTTTTGTAAATTACAAAGCATATTTTGGAACAAGTCTCCAAGCTTTTTTTTGTTTTTAACCATTGCACCCCAGGCAAGGCAATAAAGCAACTATGATGCAAAAAGTCACTGAATGTTAGAGAAAATGAGAAAAATATGTTATCAATGAGAACAAACAATAAAAGAACAAAAATTTTTTAAAAAAGCAGAAGATGACAACTGACATTGCATTTAAATTTTTGAAAATCAATCTTGACTGGGAAGCAAGATGTCTGAAGAGTTTTCCACAAGCAAGAAGTACAAGAGAAGAAACTGTTAGCATAGAACCTACACTTACATCTCGTCATTTCAACTGTAAAATGATGAGACCTTACCTCCAATCTATTACTGCACTTAAATTCATTAAGTCTAGGTACCATGGTGGAAAGTTCATTAGAACAATTGCCACAAAAGTATTTATAGAAAAGGCACAGGAAACTTCATTACAGTGATGGGAAAGTGACTGATGGTAAGATGCTAGGTCAAGACCAATAACATTGTGGACTGTTCTTTGGATTTTATCAAGAATCTCACAGACTATTGTCTTCATCAGTTTTTGCCATCACAACATTTTAGCTGTTGTGCTTGTTGATCTGGGCAACCTATAGGGAAATTCACACTGAACCCACTGTTTAATTTTTCAATGTCATTGATCTCGACTTGGCATCTCACCTTCAGTGACTTTCCCCTCACCTTAATGTAGTTTCCTGTGCCTTTTCTATAAAGATTTTCATGGTAATTGTTCTGATGAACTTTCTGCTACGATACCTAAACTTTATGAATTTAAGCACGGTATTAGATTCACAACAAGGTCTCCTCATTTTAGAGTTGAAATGGCTAGATATAACCGTAAGTTCTATGCTCACAGTTTTTTTCTATCGCACTTCTTGCTTGTGGAACTCTTTAGACTTTTTGCTTCTCAGTCAAGTTTGATCTTTAAAAATTTAAATGCCATGCCAATCGTTATTTAGGATCTTAATTCTTGTTTTTCTAGTGTTCTTTTATTATTCATAGTTTTTTTTTTCTCATATTCTCTAACACTCAGTAACCCATTGCATTTTGTACCTTTGTTGTATTACTTGAGGTGAAAGGATTAAAAACTTCCAAAAATAAAATAATCAATAATAATGTAGTTTTAAATTTGGTTTTAAATTTGGAATCAGTTTTTGTTTTCTTCTTTGAGATTCTTGCAATTACTTCTCATTTGTAGGAAAGAATATTTGAAAATAGCTGCAGATGCATTCTTGTAAGCCTTTCTTTAAACTGGGAAGGGCAAATCTAACATGAAAAGTATTCATATATCATCAGCATACCTGAGTATCAAGAGTTTAAAGAAAGGCTCACAAAAATGCATCCACAGCTTATATATATATATATATATATATATATATATATTAATGCATGTTTCATTAAATAATATAGACATGTTTTGTCTATTTATTTTAAGCAAATTCTTTCATATCGTCTCATAAGCTTAATAACATTAATTAAGAAAATCACCATATTGATACATGTTTTTTAATCCTATCTAAGCTTTCGGCTTACATAAGCCATCAGAGATGACAAGTACATTTCAATAAATTAAACAATACCAATGGCTTCCCATAGTTAACACTTCTCATTTTCACTCTCATGTGGTCCTGTGTGATGTCATGGGATAATGTGCAAAAAATCGCCCAGGGGCTGGTATGCACAAGTTTGTTTGTTTAGCAGGAAATCTTCCATGCAAACAAAATAGACTATCATTTTACTATGTCTGTGTATTGTTTCATTTATTGTAATGTAATTTGTCATCTCTGATGGCTTTCACACGAAATTGAAAGCTTAGATAGTATTAAAAAAACATGTATCAATATGGTGATTTTCTTTCATCTTTCAATGATAATGTTATTAAGCTTATCAGATGATATAAAAAAATTTGCTTAAAATAGACAAAACTTGTTGACATTATTTAATGAAACATGCATTAATGAAAAAAATTGTTTAAATACACTATATATATATATATATATATATATATATATATATATATATATATATATATATATATATATATAGAGAGAGAGAGAGAGAGAGAGTTTTGACCCATGGTTAGAGCATTTACTTTTCAACCATGAAATCTCATTATGGTCATTTTATCAGGAAAGTGATTTCTTGATGTTATTGACTTGTGGAGGTGATCCCAACATACACCTTTGGGAAGTGCCTGAAAACCTAGCCACAGGTTGATCCAAGCCATGTGCGGGAAATTTGGTAGACAGAACTATTTGGGAGCCATTGATGGTTGTGCTAGGATGAAGTCACAAGTCATTGTGACTGAGGCTTTGAGTGTACTGGCCTTGTTCAGAATGTTGATCACATAAGATAATGAACTCTCTCCTAGAATCTAAGGTCAGCTGAACATAGTTGCAGTATAAAGCACAGCTGGGCTCTCTGGGTGGTGAAAAAATACAAACATACCTGAGCAGGCATCTGTAACAAGGATTTTTTAGCTACCCTATTAGACAGGCATTTCTTTTATGAAAAAAAACCTTTTTTATTATATATATATATATATATATATATATATATAGAGAGAGAGAGAGAGATAGATATAGAGAGAGAATGATATATATTTTTATATATCAAGAACAATATTGGGGAAAAACGTACAACAAAATGGAAAAAGTTTTGTGATGGATTTCGTCCTTTAGGACTAAATTTGTTATTTTGGGGTGACTACACATGTACACGAAAGAGGGATGATGAGAATTTTAATTTAATTTTTTTTTCTTTTTCAATCTAGCTGATTACATTTGGATTCTTTTTATAAAATAATAATAGAACCTTTCCTGGCACAACTTCTATTATAACAGTGTGGGTCATCTACTAACAAAATTGATGGAAAGAAAAAGAAAAAAAATCTAAATGAAATTAAATAGATTAAACAAAAAATATATTTAAATTTAAAATTCCCCAAATCCTTCATTCATGCACATGTGTAGTCACATGAACATAGATTTAATCTGATAAAGTCCTAATGGTTGAATTGCATCACAAGAAAACTTTTTCCTCTTTGTCATACATTTTCCCCATGCGTGTGTAATATTTTAATGTCACCAGATGAATCTATTATAGAGAGAGAGAACAAATTGCCCATCTCTATTCAGAGGACACTTTGGGCATCTCGATGTGGTGTAATGGTTAGAAAGCTTTTCTTGCTAGATCAATTACGACTGAGTAGTGAGTTCAATCCTCACTGGGTGCTCCATACTTTCGACCTTGTGCCACATCTAGTCACTATTCAGAGGACACTTCTGGTGATGTAGCAGAAATAGAATTTTATGTTAAACTCCATCAATAAAAATCAACTATTATTTAACTGGATTGAGAATAGAATGTTGTATCATTAAGTATTGGAGATCAAATTAACAGGATTTATTCTTATATAAAATAAAATGTAAAATGCAAAATGACTAATATTTGTTGGCATTATTTGACAGCACTGACAGCCTGGAAAGGATAAGACTAAAAACTTTCACAACAGCCTCATATAGATTTCAATATTTCATACAATGTAAATGTATATGTAATATAAACAAAGTAGAAAAAAAAATAAAAGAAGATATACAAACAGCTAAATCACAAGAATGAAAGCCTGCATTAATAAATATGTCAAAATAGTTTTAAACATTTAAGATATCAATTAAACATTTTTACATGGTAGCATTGTGTGCACGTGATGCTTAAAAACCTTTTAAAAAAAAAGATAAGATCTGTGTAGAACATTTCATAATTATGAAAATAATTTTAAAATGTTTTTAAAATAATAAATATATTGTCTATAACTTAGAGAAAATTTATGTTTTAAGCTTTGCTGGTCAATTGAATAAGTCAGACTCATACTTTCAACTTAGTTGAGTTGACTTTCCTCAACAGAGAAGTACTTCAAAAACTATAAAATGGGAATCACCTGAATTACAATGTTGGCCGTAAATGATATTGTTGGTGAATATATCTTGCAATACTGGAGTGATTCAATCGGATTGGTACATCCATGATGATTTACTGTCACTAGTTTGTTGAGAGTTAAGAAAGTAAATAAAAAAAAAAAAATGAAAAAGTAAGAGGTAGATGTTTCTCTTCTGGATTAAAACTGAAGTTGGCTGTAGAAGGAGTTGGCCAAAAGCACAAATGTAAGAGTTCAGTTGCCCAGACAAAGCTCGGGAAGCAGTCCTGTAGATTCTTATCTTTTTGTGGTTTTCATTTTTACCCCCACCCTCAAGTCTGAATATCAGTTAAAATATTTCATATAAAGCTACATTTTACTTTTAAATGCAATGAGT